CGTCCGCAAGCGCACGCTGCGCCGGCTGCTGCAGGAGAGGGAGGTGAGAGCGCCCCTGCGCCGCCCCAGCCCCTGGGGACACCCACACACACACACACAGGGGAGAGGGCAGGGCCCTTCTGCGTGGGCCTCTGAGACTGTGTTTAAGGATGTCACTGCGTCATTGCGCTTCCTTCCCGGTGATGGCAAAGCCGGGAAGCGTGTGAACGCCCAGTGACCATTAGCTACACGGGGGGCATCTACCCAGGGAAGCACACGTGTTTCTGGGTAAGTGCACGGCACAGTGACAGCTGCCTGGGGGCTGCTTAAAGGACAGGACCTGGGGCCCCGGCCGGGTTGGCTCAGCGGATGGAGCGTCGGCCTGCGCACTGAAGGGTCCCAGGTTCGATCCCGGTCAAGGGCACGCACCTCGGTTGCAGGCTGATTCCCGGCCCCGGTGGGGCACATGTGGGAAGCAACCAATATATCCACATTTCTCTCTGTGTATCTCTCCTCCTCCCTTCCACCCTCTCTGAAAATCAATGGAAAAATATCCTTGGATGATATTTTTTAAATATAGATTTTTTTAGAACAGAGGACAGTACGTGTGTAATGTGCAGGAGCCAGCCTTTGAGCGGTGCCTGCTGAGTCCTAGGGAGGCCCCGTGGGCGGGGAGAGGGAACTGGAAGGTGCCCCTGTCCACGCCTGTCCCTCTCCGAGCTCTGCTTCCCACAGTGTGTTCCCGGCACTGCCATTCCCCAGGACAGTCCGAGCCCGGCATCTGTGCCCAGAGAGTCGGAAGCCGGAGTCCCCGGGAGGAGTCCCCAGGGCAGCTGGTGGCATCCTGGCACTTGGGTGTCAGAGGGTTCAGCAGGCGACCAAAATGACCGCCCCCCCATAAAAAGCTTCCTCACCCACACTTCCCCGGTCAACTAAAGGCCCTGGAAACAGAACTGGAAGTTACATTTGTTGAACTGGACCGGTTCCGGTCAGGGATGCCCGTGTCTTCACGAAGTCCCTCAGAGCAGGTGGCCGTGGGGCCTGAGCGAGCCGGCAGGTTCTGTGCTGAGGCAGGACCAGGCCCGGTCCACGGGGGGCGTGGAGGCTGACCAGCATCCCCGTCACTCATCGCTCACCCTCGTCTCCCACAGCTCGTGGAGCCCCTGACCCCCAGCGGGGAGGCGCCCAACCAGGCCCTCCTGAGGATCCTAAAGGAGACCGAGTTCAAAAAGATCAAGGTGCTGGGCTCCGGCGCGTTCGGCACCGTGTACAAGGTGAGACGCCAGACACGGCACAGACGCTCCGGGGGCTCGGGCTGGCGGCCCCGCGCCTTCCGGGGGAGCGAAGCCAGAGTCCTCGGCTGTCGTCTGTGTATGTCATTTATTCCTTGTATTGCTGAGGGTTTGGGAAATTCCAACGTTTTTCCCAAGTTGTCGAGGGGAAATCTTTTATAATCACGGCGCCGAATAAGTGGTCCCGTGAGACGTGTCCACAGACGCATTTTATAGAAGTTGGCATTGACCCTAGAGGTCAGCTTCCAAGCCAGGCCCCGGTCCGAGCAGCCTCCTCTCCATCGTCTGTCTCTAGTCCTCTTTGCGTGAAGCCTGCTCTCGGTTAGGCCTGGACCGGGTGCCTTAGAGCTGTGGGAGCAACGGTGCACTCTGACTGTGTCATGGGCGCGAATGTAGGGTGTTTATCCGACGACTCTGATCCGTGGACCGTGATCGCCAAAGAGCCGCTGAGACTTGGGGACTCCCGGCGCCGGTGGCCTTGCCGTGCAGGGCTGAGCTCCTTGTCCCTGGCCCTTCCGGACGGCGTCACTCCTGAAGCCCCACGTGGCGTGTGTAAGGCCTGCCGGCTCATGCCTGCCCTCTCTCTCTCTCTCTCTCTCTCTCTCTCTCGCAGGGGCTCTGGATCCCGGAGGGCGAGAAGGTTAAAATCCCCGTGGCCATCAAGGAATTGCGGGAAGCCACGTCTCCGAAGGCCAACAAGGAAATCCTCGACGTGAGTCTGTCCTCTCGCTGCCACGGGCCTGGCGGTCAGGGGCCACCTTTCTCGGGGCGGGCAGCACGCTGGCGTGGGACACTCTCTTCATCTCCACATTCGAAGGGTCACTTTCCGTGTCTCCTTCCTTCTGCCTCTCGTTGGCGTGCGTCCCTCTCAGGCCTTCTCCTGAGAGGAGGGGAGGACTCAGCTCCGCCATTCTCTCCTCTCCCTCCAAGGGTGGGCCTCACTCTCGCGAGGTTTATACGCGGTCACCCCTGGTGGACTCGGGGGTAGGGATGATGCCCAGCACCCTGTCGATGAAGAAATAGAGGCCCA